AAGAGAGAGAGAAAGAAAAAGAGAGCGAGGGAGGTGTACAAAGACATACAAAAATAATGCAAAGAGAGATACATAAAAAACAAAATGAATGTATGAAAAATACAAGGATAAACGAAATGAGTAAGATATAAAATATATTAAAAACAGAGTATCTATGTAAAAGAGAAAGAAAGTTACAATATATTTATACATGGGCTTATTTGTTAAATAACCTAAAAAAAAGCAAAATTAGTTTTCTAGAGAGATGGTAGAGAGAGATAGGAACACATAAGGGGAGAGAGAGTGTCTTTTTGGTTACTTAATCAGTTTTGTTTTTTTTTAATGTTATTGGATGCAATTACCCTTTATACATATATATTATTTTTTATTTATGCAATGTAAAGATTATATTAATGTCCGCACAGGCGTGCATGCCGTCCACCTAGTTTAAGTTACATGAGAAGACTTCACAAAACACAGAAGACTTCACAGGGTTATATTCGTGAAATTGCATACATTTTTTTGTTTGGTCATAAAAGATTGTTTGTAATTTCATTAGCCTTCTGATTTACTTTTGCATTTGATTTAATTTGGTAAATACTTTTATATCTTATTGAACTTGGAGAATATTTTGTATTTAACTAATATTTTAGGTCATTTTGACAATTTCCTAAAATTTTATTTTAAGAATACCTCGTTCTCAAAAGAAGTTTTGAAGGTAAGTTGTTTTAGAAAGAAACTTTAAATTTAATATTAAAATTTTTGTAATTTGCATTTTTGTTTTTAGTTTTCTATAAATTAGTTAACAGTCATTAAAAGTATTAAACATAATATTTATAAATACAATTTATTATAACACAAAATGCATAAAATAATGATATAAAATACATAAAAATTCATAAAAATAAATACAACTACTCAATATTGTTATTTTCCTAATCAACGCACTTCAAAGTAAGAAATGAGTCTTTTATTTTTTAATATAATTCTATTTTCAATAATATTATTTCATATAAGCATAATTATATATTTTTACATATTTATAATACATAAATATATATACACACATAAATATATCTATATATAGGATATATTGAATATTTTGGTGAAATATAGTTATAAAGATTAAAGTGATTAGAAATTCGATATCAGTACAATTGCATGTAAGTTACATAATTATAATGATTAAACTAAAAATTAAATATTGTTATAAGGATTTAACAACTTCTTGGAGATACTCTTAATTGATAAAAATGTAACTGAACAAGTTGTTCAAGGTTCTACAAGAAATGTGGCAGAGTAATATTGAAGAGCTTTTGCATGGTTTTGAGTGAGAGTGTAGCTCTAGTCACAAACACTGAGGTTGTGTAATACATATTAATTTAACCAGATCGTGATGTTTTAGTGGTTTCCATTGATTAAGTAGAAATATGTTGGTCGAAATCAGGGATCAATTTCCCTCTATTATAAACTTTTTGTTTATATGTGACAATGTGGATATATGTCTATAGTGCACTGTCCATTTGTATATCTGGAAAGAAGATCTATCCATTTGCACTTCACATTTAATCCTTTCATAAGCTCGAAATATATTTAGGTTAAAAGAAGAACATTACTAATTTAGTGAAAACAAGGATCATAAAAGTACAACAAAGATATGTATAAAATCGATGTGCATGCTTCCAACTTTGGGTGCTTATTCTTGAATTTGTATCATAATAGTAATGAATTCACATATATGATCGATGTGTCATAAATACAGGTGTGATTATTCTTGATCCAAATAATTTCGCATCATTGCATTTTGCAACTAAAAGAGGAAAAGGAAAGCTTAATGGACTTTTTAACGTTTTCAAAAGGTAACGTTACTAATTTACTATACACACGCATCTTTATGTGAAAAGCTTCCACTGATTCAACTTTTCTCTTTATCTTTTGTCTGTGGCAATGGAGCTGAATCATTAATTATGATGGTGTGGTTGCGGTTATGATTTTAGTGACCAGATCAGAATTATATGCGAATCTAGTTTCATAATTTCCACTAACCGCAACGACCGATGAAAACAATTGATGACAACGATCAGTGACTAAGTACAACGATCAGCGATAGGCACTTGACTCTTCAATTATTCAGGATTAAACTTTGTAAACTCAAATTTTCACATTTCGAACGAGTTAAGACTAGTCGCAAAAACTCTATCATTGCGCAGAAGTGAACAAAATCGTAACATTACTAGAACATGTTGGGTTTGATTCACTAAAATCTAAAGCTACACTAACTATTAAATAAGATTTTAGGTCACATGCCGCTGCCTCCAGTGATCACAAAACATCACTATAATATGTATGTAATGTGGATTGTTGGGTGTGAATTTTATAGTTTTTTATATTTTCTTTGTCTTCTATCGTTTTGACTCATCTTTTGCTTTAAAAAAAATTAAATGATATATTTATGTAGGACTTAACAACAAAATAATATTATATATGTAAATATGAAGTATTAGTTATATATTGTACACATATTCAACTAAGTATATATGTATTTATAACAAGGTTCCCAATTAACATATAAGATACGTTAGATAAAACCATCATGTGTAACGATACTATAGAAAATGAACCATTTTACTACAGTTTTTAATAAATTTCAACAAAAATTCAAATAATGTTGGAAATTAATAAGCGAAAAGTATATAGAGAGATATAAAATCTTTTACAAGGAGAAAACTGAGACTCTTTTTAGATTCTTTGTTGATTTATCTTTGTTAAAAAGCGTGGTTACTAAAACAAACACTAACTTGACTAAGATTTTCGTGATAGGCTAACAGTGAATGCTTACCTTATGGTCCTTATCACTTCAAAAATTTGTCACACTTTTGGCAACCTTAGATTTAAACCAAACTTGCGAGTTGGTGAAACTTTTATAAGGTTCTCTATTAGATTCAAAGAAGAAAGCATCCATCTTAAATACTTACATTTCTCCAAATACAACCATTTTCCTTTTAAAGTGAATTTGACCGATACCCTTAAACACCTATATGATGCACAATGTTCTTTGACAAGCATATAACAGTCATCTCAACGGATTCTTGTTTGAACTTTAAACCCAACCGTCTTTGAGTAGATCATTGACAAAAAAACTTCAAAACTTCCAATTTCAGTAACCTAATTAGCTTATAGTAGATGTTACGTTTGCTGAAGACTACAATTCCACTTCATTCTGTCATCTTCAAACGGAGATTATCTTATTTAATTTGATGCACCTCATTAGTTGCAAAGCTTAAATTAATGTACACAATTATATTTTGTTGAGATATGTGTTCCGGCTGTTCTATACCATATTTGGTGGAAAATAAATAATAAACTTGGGAAAATTCAGTTAAAGCTTCATACATTGCAAAATGATCGTTAAACTTGCGAGGAATAGACAGATCACAATAATCAGAATTAGAGACTACTTGTAAGCTTCATACATTTCAATTCAACTTTTTATCATATTTTGTTTGTCAGATTTAGGTAAAAAAGGGTTGAACCGACTGATGCGCATAATGAAATGTGACCGGTCTGTTCCTACAAGCATGGTGCATACACTGCCGTTAGAGTCTACCAACAAATGATCACTTACTCGATTATACTAGTTCTTTGGTTGCATTATTGTGGCGTTGTTTCGTTTGGCGAACCATTAACGTTGCTTTCCTCTAATCTTTTTTTTTTTGTTTGGATCAAATCTTTCCTCTAATCTAACGGTCATTAATACTCACTCTGTTCCTAAATAATCCATGTTTTAGAATTTTCACACTTATTAAGAAAACACTTAAAATTTTGATAAATGCATTATTTTATGTGTTTAGTTATTTCTTATGATTTTTAACCAATCAAAATTCAGTAAACATAATTAATGTTTTTGAAGTTTACAATTTACCATTATTACATACATTGAAAATGTAAAATATGAATCTTTTAGAAACAAAATATTTTTCTAAAATATGGATCATTAAGGAACGGAGTTGTTCTACGAATAATGACAACTCTAGCAACTTGTCTAATCAGTTATGTTTACCATTATTAAATTATTAAAAACGAGTTAATTCATAAATTCGTGGTAATCGAAACATTTTTAAGAACTTATCAGTAAAATTTAAAACAAATGGTGAAAATTATTATTATTTATTTATTTTAGTACCAGGAGGGTTGGGGATCAAAACTCATAATCCTCCTATGCCCAAAACAATAATATTGGTCAACAATAATATTGGTCACTCAAACTGCAGATCTCTGGAATAATGATTAAATGTTCTTTCCAATTGAGCTGGTAAAATTTATAATGGACGACTTGAAAAAAAACTGTAAATGTATTCAGTAGCATTGACTGGCTGAAAGTCATATATTGTACTTGCACCAAAACTCGTAATCTTTAATCCAACATTTGGCATCCAAAGCATCTCGGGGAAGCATGAACCGACCATTTAGAGAAGTGTCGGTAAAAGAAAAAAACAATTCGCACAACACACCCACTTCCTCAAACAGTAATACACCATCATTTTATATTTAAATCCACAAGAGCATTATTAATGAGTTTTCATTCGGTTTTTCATAATTAAAACAAAGAACACCAATAAATAGAAAAAGAAAAGCAAAACAAAAAGAAAAAAAAATACTATTGTCAGATGAAAAGTTTCAAGAAATGAGAAACTCCTTTTGACATGTATCATTAATGCTTTATTTTTTTATAATGTAAATTTAATCTTTGTAACATATAACGATGCTCTAATTCTTAAGCACGTACTTAGTATTTGATCACTGCCGTAAGAAATAGTAATAGATAATTTACAAACCTTATAGAATAAAACAACTTGCATTGCACTGTGCTCTGTGCAGTGTGTACACTCAACGCGGTAGTAAACCAACGCTATTACAAAGTCCACGTCTTGTACACGTGTCAAAACCTAACTAGTCATGGTCAGAAAAAGCAGGCCCTACTTACGTGTAAGAGGAATCATTAACCACTCTCTTTCCCATCAGCTCTTTTGGCTTCTCTGCTATTTCCTCTCTTTACACTCTCTCACCATAAGTAAAAAAAAAAACGAACCCCAAAAAAAAAAAAGAGTGAAGAAGATTTCGACCATTATCAGCAAAATCTTAGCTGGATCCACCACTCTCCAAAAATATTTCTAAACAAAAAGAAAATAAACAGAAAGAAAGCGAAAGAGAAAGAGAAAGAGAGAGAAGTCACTACAGTATCAGATCTCATTCACTGAGAAAAAAAAAGAAGAAAGAAGAACACAATGCTCTTCTTATTGTTCTTCTACTTCCTCTTCTCCTCCGTTCTCGCTGACCGCCGAGTCCTCCACGAGCCTTTCTTCCCCGTAGACTCTCCACCACCGTCACCTCCTCAATCACCTCCCCTTCCTAAGCTTCCTTTCTCCTCCACCACTCCTCCAGACGCCACTTCACCTCCTTTCTTCCCTACATACCCTTCACCTCCTCCTCCTCCTTCTCCAGCATCCTACGCCTCCTTCCCCGCAAACATCTCCTCTCTCATCGTCCCTCACGCCACCAAATCTCCTCCCAACTCCAAAAAGCTCCTCATCGCCGCAATCTCCGCCGTCACCTCCGCCGCTCTAGTCGCCGCCCTAATCGCCTTGCTCTATTGGCGTCGACGAAGAAGAGGAAGAAGTAACGAGAGTAACGTACCGGATGATAGCAAGACGTGGACTACCGACAGTAGCCGAAGAGTCTACCCTCCCGCTCCTCCTCAAACAGCTGCGCCTTCAGGACGGCGCAATGCTGAGGGTAGAGTTAGTAAGCAGAGGACAACGAGGAGCTCAGCCAACACTAGCTCAGAGTTTCTTTACTTGGGAACGATGGCGAATCCGAGAGGAGTTGAGGATCAATCCGTGAGTAGTAATCGGAGCAATAACGGTTCGAGCTCAAGGAAGCTTGAATCTCCAGATCTCCAGCCTCTTCCTCCTCTCATGAAACGAAGCTTCCGTCTAGAGGTTGGATCAATAGGAGAGGAGGAAGAGGAAGAGTTTTACTCTCCCAGAGGCTCAGCGAGCGGGCGGGAGACGTTAACCCGGGTCGGATCGGTTCCGGATCAAAAAAACGTTAGATCTGTGAATAACGACACTATCTCCTGCTCTTCGTCAAGCTCAGGGTCACCAGGGAGATCTACTTTCATCAGCATTTCTCCCTCGATGAGTCCGAAGAGATCCGAACCTAAAGAAACTGTAATCTCAGCACCAGAGCCGCCGTTGAAGACTTCTCTAGGAACCTCTGAATCATCCCCGGGAAAGATAACTGACTTCAGATTCGTGAGGTCTCCGTCGTTAGCTTCTTTATCGCCGGCGAAAAACGCACAAGGAGGAGGAGGATTAGGTCAAATCACGAGATCTCCTACGGTTACGTCTCTCACGACTTCGCCAGAAAGAGAGAACAAAGAAGAAAACACTCTCCTGAATCTCTCTTCACGGTCATCTGCTTCAACGTCCCCGGAGAGACGACCTAACGATACTCCAGAAGCGTACTTGCGATCTCCTGCGCACTCTTCCGCTTCCACGTCACCGTACCGATGCTTCCAGAAGTCTCCCGAGGTGTTACCGGCGTTCATGAGCAATCTCAGGCAAGGATTGCAGTCTCAGTTACTCTCTTCTCCGGGACAAGGTTTAGATGCGTTACAACCTTCTCACAATCCAGAGTCTGCCTCGTCGTCGTCTCTTTCATCTTCGCCAGATAGAGACTTTAGTCATAGCTTAGATGTGTCTCCGAGAATCTCCAACATCTCATCTCAAATCATACAGCCTCCTACTGTGTCTGCTGCGTCTGAAGCTTCACGAGTGCCACCACCACCTCCACCGCCACCTCCACCGACATGGGCACGACGGAATCAGGTGACTTATAAGGCGTCTAGGCCACCTTCTCTCACGCCGCCTTCACATCCTTTTGTGGTCCCATCTGAAAACATTCCAAAGACTTCACCAGAAGAGACTCAAAGAGAGACGGTTAGTGCTAATGAGCCTGCAGAGGAAACTCCTAAGCCGAAGCTAAAGGCGTTACATTGGGATAAAGTCAGAGCAAGTTCGGACCGAGAGATGGTCTGGGATCAGCTTCGGTCAAGCTCCTTCAAGTGAGTTAATGTCATGGTTTCTTTAGGACAGTATGTTTTTTATTTGAGAGAATGGTTGTTGATATTATTGGTGTGGTTGTGCAGATTAGATGAAGAGATGATTGAAACGTTGTTTGTTGCGAAGTCGTTAGACTCCAAACCAAACCAGAGCCAGACAACTCCAAGATGTGCTCTCCCGAGCCCGAACCAAGAGAACAGAGTCTTGGACCCTAAGAAGGCTCAGAATATTGCTATCCTGCTTCGCGCACTTAATGTCACTATTGAAGAAGTTTGTGAAGCTCTTCTTGAAGGTAACCTATGCTCTCAGATACTTAGTCTCCTTTGATCTTCAAAACATGAGTTCCTTTGGGTTTGTTTAGCTATGATCTGAGAATTTGATGTCCTGAACGATTGGTGTTATATTTTGTTCTTTGTTATGCTTTCAGGCAATGCTGAAACACTTGGGACTGAACTTCTTGAGAGCTTACTCAAGATGGCACCAACAAAAGACGAAGAGCGCAAGTTAAAAGAGTACAAGGATGATTCGCCTGTAAAGCTTGGACATGCTGAGAAGTTCCTTAAGGCAATGCTAGACATCCCTTTTGCCTTTAAAAGAGTTGACGCCATGCTCTATGTAGCTAACTTTGAGTCCGAGGTTGAATACCTGAAGAACTCTTTTGAGACTCTTGAGGTATGTATAAAGCAAAGCTATCTTTTCTCTCTCTTGTTACCATTGTATTTGTAACGAATCATGACTTCATACACATTTTATGGGTAGGCTGCTTGTGAGGAACTGAGGAACAGCAGGATGTTCTTAAAGCTTCTAGAAGCGGTTCTGAAAACAGGAAACCGCATGAACGTTGGGACGAACCGAGGCGATGCACATGCGTTCAAGCTCGACACGCTCCTCAAGCTGGTCGATGTCAAAGGCGCAGATGGGAAAACAACTCTCTTGCATTTCGTTGTTCAAGAGATAATCAGAGCAGAAGGCACACGTCTCTCAGGTGATAACAATACACAAGCGGATGACATCAAATGCAGGAAACTCGGCCTCCAAGTAGTATCAAGTCTATCTTCAGAGCTTAGTAACGTCAAGAAAGCTGCTGCGATGGACTCAGAAGTACTAAGCAGCTACGTCTCTAAGCTTTCTCAAGGCATTTCCAAGATCAACGAAGCTATCCAAATCCAATCAACAATCACAGAGGAAAGCAGCAGCAGTAGTGAGAGATTCTTGGAATCGATGAACACGTTTCTGAAAAGAGCTGAAGAAGATATCATCAGAGTACAAGCTCAAGAGAGCGTAGCTTTATCTCTTGTGAAAGAAATCACAGAGTATTTCCATGGGAACTCGGCGAAAGAAGAAGCGCATCCGTTTAGGATATTCTTGGTGGTTAGAGACTTCCTCGGAGTAGTGGACAGAGTCTGCAAAGAAGTTGGGATGATAAACGAAAGAACAATGGTTAGTTCTGCTCACAAGTTTCCAGTTCCTGTGAATCCAATGCTGCCACAACCTCTGCCTGGACTATTCGGACGAAAGCAATCTTCTTCTTCGTCTTCTTCATCGTCAGACGATGAACGTAACTCATCTCATTAGTTTATTAAGATGGGATCAGCTTTGTTTGTGTAAAAAGTATCCAGTTTGTTTTGCAATATATAGAGGAGGTAAACAGAGACGGAAGTATTTATTTGTTTTTCTAAATTTGTGTAAAATAATATAGATTTACCTTTAAAATTTGTTCTTAAATTTTATTAATAAATCAGAATTCATTGTCGTTAGATGAAAAATATGTTTGAAACACAGTTTTCTCAGAGCACCATATGTATCTACCTATTGGAGTTCTAAAAATTGTATATTTATATATTTATATATGTAGATGTGGATTCTAAAAATAGTGTAGAACCCTTATCCAAAAATTCTAAAAATTTGTTTTTAGAACTTTTGGATAGGAGGTTTGTTGGGCCCGAATTTAGCCCGTTAGCTGAATTAATGGGCCGAATAGTAGAAACCGTTTGTAAAGCATTACGAGCTCATCAGGAAGCTTCCCCTCAAATGAGGACCACATGAAACCGTTACCTATCGGTGAAAACAGGTCACGAACAAAAGACTCGGGACCTCATTTTCAAAACAGTTAGCAAGAAACAGCTCCGGAGNGTTAGCTGAATTAATGGGCCGAATAGTAGAAACCGTTTGTAAAGCATTACGAGCTCATCAGGAAGCTTCCCCTCAAATGAGGACCACATGAAACCGTTACCTATCGGTGAAAACAGGTCACGAACAAAAGACTCGGGACCTCATTTTCAAAACAGTTAGCAAGAAACAGCTCCGGAGAGACGTGCAAGACTTAGTCAAGTGGAAGCTGTTGCGAATCCCGCAACTCATGGAGATAATCACGGAGGCTTCGTCGGGAGAAGTTGGACGTGACCTAGTGCTATATAAAGGAAAGAAGAGATCAGAGAAAGGGATTCGGACTCATTCTAGAGAGAGAGACTCCAATACACTTTGTTCTTATTCATTCTCCATTGTTCTTTGTATTCAGATCAAGGATCATCTTTGTAAACTCTTTTATTACCAAACATCAATATAAACAACGTATTCATTCTCTAAGTTCTTAAGGGATTCAGCCCACGATTGTCTTCTCCCCAATCCTAACCTAACCT